AATAAGTGGGGCGTCTATTCAAATACGGGTATCCACGAAAAATAACATTTAAAAAGTAATAACAAAAAATATGTCGTATTAATAAATAAAAATTTATTATTTCTTTAGACATTACTGTATGTTATTTTACCATACAGTTCACAATCATTGTGCCCCTTTCTACCAGCGGAGTTATCACATGAGATCCAGTGACAACAAGTCTCTTCAACTATTTATCACCATCCTTAGTTTGATTTTGTTTGTTTTATTATCCACTCTTTGTGAGTTATTTAAAGCCAAAACATATTTTAGATTGTAAGAATACTTCTTTTTTTTTGCGAGTGAGTATTCCACAGACAGTTTTTGGGATATAACTATTTAACCCATAGCTGGGAGTAGGAAATGAATTCATACTTTTCTCAAGGTTATCCACACATAAGTAAATGCAATGAATCCGACTGGAAGTTGAACTTGGTTTTCTGATTTCTCATTCCAAACTGCACATCCATTCACTATCCTTAGTATTCTTGCCAATTTAAGGTTAAGTTCCTACACATCAGTCTGGTGGTTATCACTAGAGATCAAGTGACAGCAAGTCTCTTCAATTTTCCATAACTCTCAATGAGGCATAGTCTGAATGCAGATATGTATAAACAACTCTACTTATCTATTTATTCACTGTGGTTTTTGTCCTATAAGACTTATATTTGGCATCACAAAACAGACCTTGAATTTTCTCTAGTTGTGTTGAATGGTGGTACTCTCTCTATTCACCAACCTCCCCACAAAGATGTGTCACAAGGCCAGTTTTTAACGTGGAGCATTCTGAGCCCATAGACTTGGACAAAAATTGCCCGTAGACCCCAGGTTGGGTTTGTCTACCTCCCCAAACAAGACTCTGCCCTTTGCCATAGCCCCGCCTGGGTTCCTCTCTGCCCGAAGGTAGAGAGTTCAACAAGAAGGGAAGAAGTACTCACAATGAAACTCCTTGCCTGGATCATCTTTTGAGACTAAGGCTCACTCCTGACCTCAAGTAGAACACGTTTCTTGTCTAACAACAGTTTTCCCTGCCCATGAGGACGCAGATTAGAATACTGCTGGAGAGTGCATATTTTTCTTTAATAAGACTTCACAATATTCAGGCCAGTAGACGAAAATAAATAAATATGCTGTTTAATAAATATACAGTGTGTCTACTAAAATATGTGTATTCACTAAAAATCTGACTAATCTGTTGGGTTAATAAATAAGAACCCATTACTTTCTTTAGAAATAAATGGATATCAGAGCAAGAAGTGGGAAGGAAGTAAAGAGACAAACATTGATAAGAGGTATATAAGATAGGAAATCGTGAAGGGCTATGATCGCCCATGTCCTGTGAGCATGGAAAAGATACAATTTTTCTCTCCTATACTATTTAAATAATACAAGAACTTCTTCCTTTCAAGCAATTGTTCTATATAATCTTTACAACTTTATAACAACCATACAACATTCTATTTGAAGTCATTGCTAAGCAACCAGTCCTATCTACCTCGACACACTACTTATGGCCCAACCTACCCTTTCAAAAACCCCTTGCCATGGAAAAAATTGATTATTTGTAACTGGGACATAATAGCTTAGCTGATAATCATCTAAAATGACCTTTTCTCATGCTTATTGTGTAAATAAATTATCAGATATTCAATATGCACTAGTTAGTGATTCTCAATGGTTGCTCCAGAAACGTGACCTTGCACCAGATTTTAACTTTGACATATTACTTGGAGAGCAGTGGAAAATGTGCTTGTCAAGTAAGATCAGACTAAGAATAAAGTATTGGTATCACATTATAGCTGGTGTTGCTTAATCCTCAACGTCCAGCATCACTAGATTTCAAAAGCACTTACACATCCTTGTGGGTGATGAATTATTCTCTACCCTGCAATGCTTATGCCACAGATGAAATGTTGCTAGCACCTCACCACTCTATCACTATTACTATAGCAGATTTTCAGACGAGTTACATTCCTTAGTTTCACCAGCTCAGACTTCGGAGCTAGGACACGCCAAGTCATATTGATGGTGAAAAATCATCGCCATTCCCTTTGTGTTCCTTTGATAAGGAGCATGTTCCCTTCAGGTAGCATTTTTTCCAGAATGGCTACTTTGTAGAATAAACTCCCAAGAGGATGCTTTCCTAACAACTATAATCTTTGTCTCTTTAAGTACAGTGTCAACTGGAATTTATCCTAGACATTCTCATAATATGCATTTCTCACTCTCTTCTTCCCCCTCCCTCACAACAATATCATTAACCCTCTATCTTGAGTGACTCTTGAGACTTGTATTGGGTGAGCTAACAATAATAAAAAAAGGTAAGCCATTAATAAAAATTTATTCAACAGTTCTCTATAAAAGTGGCCTTATATCATATATCTTGAATTGACTATTTGCATTATAATATTGCGAATGTTCAGCAGTGTATTCTGTTTCTGAGTGCTCTATAAAAGTGGCCTTGTGGTTGACTTAACTTTGAATACCTGTTAATAATTGTGGAGAGATTTCAAAATATGCTATATAATGCTTGATGCTCCATTTAGTTTTTAATAAATGTGGACAGGCTCTTAGAATAATAAATATCTTACTACCCCGGGATCTCTTGATAGTTATTTCTATTTTTTTCTACTTTTGCTCTTGTTCTGGTACTATCTTTCTTGAGTTCTGCATTTTAATCTCTTACCAGATAATTTTTTCCCACCCAATGTTTTGTTTTGGAAGGAATTCTGAAAATATTCATTTTTTTTCTTGCTTAAGAATATATTGTCACACATAGATTAAAATGAAAATAGATCCTTTATTATATATATATATATATATATATATATATATATATATATATATGATAAAAATATGTTTTTAAGGTATGCTACATTTATGGGTAAACCTGCTCAATATCAGGGATAGTTTGTGTGTAAATATAAAAGTGGACACTGAAGTCAAGGTAAAGTGGCAACAATCTTTTTCTTGCTTTAAATGAATTAAGCCTGTAGGTCTTAGAAAAGACCATTTTCTTCAAACCTTGTGAACTGGCTCTACAGAATTACAAGCAAAGAACTGTATGAAATAAGAGAAACTGCATCACTTGAGGAATTTCAACAGCAGTAACAGCTAAAATAAATAGTACAGAGAAAATAATGACATAAGTTGTTGATATTCCACACTACTTCAAACAAAAGGTTAGGAAGGAAACCCCCATCAGTAATGGAAAGAGTGATAACAGTTACTGGAGTTGGGAAATCTATTTTCCTGAAAAAATGTTTTACTAGAAAGATTTTATAAATTTCAAGCAGTGGTAGAACTGGCTTTTTAGTCAATAAATGTCAGAAGTTTCCAGATGTAGAAAGGGCTAATGTTACTCTTACAATTTGAGATGAGAACAGATACTACACTTTGATACCAACCTGATGGCCAGGGAGGGAAGAAAAGTGTAACTCATGTAGCTTGTCAGTAAATGGTGAATATTTCCTTATAAGGAAAAGGCTAAGATAACCATTATAGATGAGAAGAACAGATACTATGCTCTGATCCCAGCCCAATAGCTAGGAAGTGAAGAAAAGTGTAACTTGAGTAGCAATGGTTACTTGGTCAGTAAAAATATCAAATGTTTCCTTATAATGAAAAGGCTAATATAACCATTAAAGATGAGACGAACAGATACTACACTTTGATTCCATCACAATAGCCAAGGAGTGAAGCAAAGCATAACATGAGTATCACTGGCTATTTTGTCAATGAATACCAAATATTTTCTGAGAGAACACTTGTCTACTATGATAAATGAAAATTCAGGGTGTGCTTGGTGATTATGGAATGTCAAAACACTGAATATGACCAGCCAGTTTTTCTTTCACTGAGCTGTTAGAGCTCAGTCAGAGGAGAGATCAGCTGCCAGGCTCTGGTCATCTAGAATTTTGGAGGTGCACCCATATTCCATTGTATCATCTGCATAGTTATCCACAAAAGATTGAAGTATTCTCTTTATGTGAAGTAGAAAGACATTAGGACTGAGAAGCGAGGCTTGAGGGAAGTCTGTGTTGTTCACTTGGGTATAGTTCAAACATGAAAAAGAATTGGGTGTACCACACTCCATGCAGTTGTGGCACAGATTTTAAAGGCAAGATCAATCACTCATTAAGAGTAAGACTTGAACACTAAAAAAGTGTAATCCATAGACATATTTTAAAATCCAGTTTGGAAGGAGAGATAGAATAAAGTCAAAATAATCAACAAGGAGCAATGTTTTTCTTGTTCTCTACTCAAGTGTGAATGACCTTAAGTGTGTTTATAGCTTGATCCTGGCTTTGTTTCAGAAAAAAATGCAGTAAGGTCAAGTTGTTGAAATATTAGCTTGGCATGAAAACACAACAGATTACAGATTAGTGAAATATAATAACAAATCAAGTTTATTTCTGGCTATTGAAGCAATCTTTCATAATGAGAGAATATTTTTCTTTGGATGTTCGTGCTCTTAGTGTTCTTAAATTTTAAAAAAAATTCACTCCAAGCAAGGTGATAATGCTACTAAGACACATGGCAAGGAGGTTATTGAGAGTGGAAGAGAATGAGAAGAATTTAGTGATTAGAAAGGAAAATAAAAGAACAGGTTTCAGGAAGACAAAGATTGTGATTGATGTTGCATTTAAAGCAAGAAACCTGAAAGGAATTCCACAGATTAGAAGTATGAGAAAAGAAACAATCAAAATATAGCTTACTGATTGATTCATTTTTTACAATTTATCAACCCTTTGCAGGTTATTTAAAACCAGAAAATATTTTTAGTTTGTAAGAATTGGGGGGGGGAGGGATATAGTAATGTTTTTTTAGTGATACAGGTCTTACAAATAACCCATAGCTAGGGGGAGAAGAGGTGGATTAAAAACTTTTCTGAAGTGTATTTGCATGTAAGTGAATTGAAACTCGGCTCTCCATTTAGCAATTCCAAGCCATTATCAATTACACTACCTGCACATCCAATCTTACAGCACCTGGTATTCCCAAGATGTCACTCATCTAGTTATTGAGCAAACCCGACCTTGCTTAACTTTAGTGATCATAGGGAAACTGGAGTTTCAATGTGATGTGGGCATAAACCAGAGTAAATGTTACAAAGACATCTACCTACCATATATACTCACGGATATGTTGCACTTTTTTTACTAAAAATTTCACAAAATATTAGGGGTGTGACCTACCTGCTTGACATAAATTTAAAACAACACTACCTTGCCATCATGATTTCTGAGAAATCAGAAATGAGACCCATAAACATTAAAGCCGTGGATTCAGTCCTGAATAAATTTTAAAACTCTAACTTGATATATAAATAGATAAACACTTTTTTTCTAAATGTATCGTAACATTTTCTTCTGTAGTTATTTCTTTTCATTTTTTTTTCTTTTGGTCAAGTGGACGTGATATAAAAATAATATGTGGTAAATATAAAAATACCAGTACAACAGTTACTGTCTTTTATTTATATGATGACTGATGAAATGTATTTTAACTGCAAAAGTGTATTAATAATTGTAAGTTTTGAAATAAAGGTGGATATCTGATAATTCTTACGTTTAAAAAGGGCTGCGTAACTCCCCAAATTATGGCGTGACCTATCTGCGAGTCAACAGTAAATCATCAATTATTAATCCATAAAGTAGGGGTGCAACCTATCCGGTGGGGCGACCTATAAGAAAGTATATACTGTAATTCAACACTAAAACAATGAGACATAGCAGCCAATCTAGTAATACACTTCAATTCATGCAGTTGTGGTACCAAGAAGGAGAGATGCAAGGAAAATATTTATAGAAAAGACACTGGGAAGCCACGTCATGGCTGTGGGAAAGTTGAAATGCCAAAAGAAGACTGATTATATTACAGAACCTTCTTTAGATTTTGTTGAGAATCTTGAAATATATAGCATGATCATAGACCAGATATAGCGGAAATATTCAATGCACAGATGGGCAATAGATTTGTAAATGTGTAAAGATGGATTCTGATGAGAAAACTTGTTTAGCACCTTTCCTAGCAACAGACAAGGAGCATAAAATCTAAATATCCAACTATTGCTTCTTTTTGTAAAGAAAGACATGATGCAATAGTTTCTTCATCCATAAACAATTTTTAACAGTAAAGTGTACCTAATAAAGCCCCTGAAAATGACTCAAGGTAAAGGGTTACAGTCTAGAGAATGATTATGCATAAAGAGGTGTGATATGAATGGAAGAAAAGGTGATAAGAGGTGAAGATTATGATGGTAAGGAAGAAAGATGAGAATTGACACTTGAATTGTTGAAGTCAATCTTTTGGTGTTCAGGGTAACAAGCATGGTGGCAGTTATTGAGGAAAACAATCATCACCCACCATACTGAATAAATGATTTTGAATTGTATCAGGGTTGGAATGCATGCATTGTGCATTTCCAATCCACATATGACTACAATACTACATCGTTGGTCTAGTCTGATTCTTTTAATGTCAAAGCATAGCAGAAAGAATCTGGTAATTCTTTTAGTAATAGAATGAGCAAAGTATTTTTCTAGCATCTTTAGCAATAGACTGGATATAATAAGGTTATCTTAAGATGATACCATACCAAATTTTAGAGAGAAGATTTTATAGCTCCAGTCCTATAAGTAGGGAGAGTGTAACAACTTTGACAGTGTGTGTTTAAAATTGTAGCTTTTGGATTTAAACACTGATCTCAGTAACTTATAGGAATTGCTTAACTGTTTCAGTTGATGGTTATGTAGCTAAAAATGTATGGATGGGCAGGTGGCCAAGTGGTTAGAATGTTCACATTCTAACCATGAGACCCAGGTTCGAATCTCACCATAGTCGATTTGTCAGGAAGGAGACTTCCTGAAGTTATCAGATTGGAGGGGACAATCCCAGCGTGTGGCACCTTTGGAAAATGCCTGAAAACCACACCATGCGTTGACCCAAGCCTTGTGAGTGAAATTGGGTCAACAAAACCCTTGGGTGCTCTGCTAGCACAAAGTCACACGTCACTGTGGCTAATGGCTTGAGCATCCTGGCCTTGTTCAAATTGTTGATCACTAGATAACACGCTCTTTCCCAGAAACTGTAGTTAGGATCTGCTCAGCATAGTTACAGTATAAAACACAGGTGGGCTCTGGAGGTGTTTTATAAACACAAATGAGCCTAAGCAAGCATTTGCAATATGGATTGGGTAGCCACCCTAGTATGTCCTTGAATATGAGTGGCCAACTATACTATGGAAGAAAAAAGATAGGGAAATAGGAGTATTTTATTACATATATGTTGGGTAGGGCATACCGGTCAAGAAAAACAGTATTCAAAATACTTGATTTTTATTGGGATCAAACACTCACCTTGCACATCAATATTTTTTTTAATAATGTTCACCTAATACAAGGCTGGAGAGACACTCAAAGTAGAGAGTTAATGAATAAGGTGTGTGTATTATGTATACAAGTGAAGAAAGTAGGAAATGAAGATTATGATATGGCAGATAGATAACAATTGACCCTAAACTTGAAAAGGTTAAAATTGTAGTCATCAGGGAAGCATCCACGTGGGAGTTTGTTTCACATATTAATGCTTCTTGGGAAGTAGCTTTTATAGTGGAGTGACCTTCTTATGAATAGAATGTGGATGTAGCAAGGTGGGTCTTGGCCATCACTGTTTTCACTGTTAAATATTGGAGCTCATCTGGACATTTCTCATGGAAATAACAATTGAGACATCTGTGGCAAAGAGGCTGTAAGATGGAAAATAATTCACCCTATAAGTCTGCATGAACACTTTTAAACTTTGGAAAGTGAGAATTGGGCAGTTCCAGCCCAGATTTGGAAGCAATTCTTCATTTTTAGCTTGATCTAACTCTTGTAAAAATAAAGTATAACAGAAGGAGTCATATGCTTTTTTTTTTTTTGCATAGTCCATCACCCTGTAAAAAAAATATATAACTTCTGGGGTACAAGGAACCAACCTGGGGTTACAAGGAGCTAAACATTTACCCAGTTCCTTTAGTAATATATTATATTGTGTTATAACTACTTCACATTTTAGGCAGGCTACTGTTATTTAATAAGGTTACTTTAGTATAATAGAAAACAAATGGTAGTTGGAAGATTGTATAAGGTCAAAAATAAGCAAGACCGGCTTGTTTTGAAAATCAGTATTCAAAATTCTGATTTTTCATGAACTTTGACACACCTATCTCTATTAATTAGCAGTTTCTGAATATATATTAAATTGGGATTAATATGATCCGATATATTTATGGCTATTATAAATGATCTATTTTTCATCATAACTCTCCCAATTAGGTCACTTCGATGTGGGCGGTAATGATTAGCAAGCTTCACCCACTAGACATCAAGTACAGAATTTAAACCTCACTGAGTGCTCCATACTTTTGGCCTTGTGTCACATCTAAGCTACACTTAGAAAATCTTTATGGGGTGCTTTTACATGGCATAATGGTTAGCAAGCTTGTCTTGCTAGATCAAATACAAATGAGTAGGGAGTTTGATCCTCATTGGGTACCTCATACATTTGGCTATCTGCCACACCTAAGCTAAGAAAATAAAAGGCACTTTGATATGGGATAATGCTTAGCAAACTTGTCTAGCTAGATCAGTTATGACTCAATTGTGAGTTCAATCTTTATTAGGTGCCCCATAATTTTGGCCTTGTGTCACATCTAAGCTACACTTAGAAGATCATTTAAGGATGTGGTGTAAAGGTTAGCAAGCTTGTCTTGCTAGATCAATTACGACTGAGTAGTGAGTTCAATCCTCATTGAGTGCTCCATGCTTTCAGCCCTCTGCCACACCTAAGTGAAGTTTAGAAAATAATGAGCACTTTGCTGTGTGTTAATACTTAGCAAACTTACTAGATTAATTTCAACTGAATAGTGAGTTTGATCCTCACTAGGTGCCCCATACTTTTAGCTTCAGAAAATCACCATAAATATCTCAATTATTAAGCAGTAGTTTTCAGATTCCTTGGTCATATTTCTCCCCTGGTGATCCTACATCCTCAATAGCTCCCCCATTTTGAAATCTCATCTAGTAATTATGCTTATGACCTAGACATGTAACTGAACTTCTTACCTAGCTCTTATACTGGCAAAAAACTTCTTCCTCCTGTGATTTAAAATTTCTCCCCTGGGAGGTGGGAAGTTCCTCTTCAAGAATCACTGATGTAGAAATTCTTTAGTATTTACTAAGCTGATTTTAATATTGCATTATATGTTTATAAAGCAGGGGCACCCAAAGTGGTTGATATTGACCCATGGATGTCGGTGGGACTATCTGGGGTTGGGGGAAGAGTCAGTAAACATATTGGGGTTCAAAAGGGGAGGGTCAATGAATACCTGAGTGTTAAGTGTGAACTGATAAGTAAACCGTGGTGACTTACAAATAAAATTCACCAATTTCCAACCAAATATACCCTCCCCACTGCTACTGCTCATCAAACACATCTTTCCCAATTCAATAAGAAAGTAGACTAGTTTATTTTTAATGTGTTTATTATTACCTATATTATTTATAAATTTTTTTTATAATATTTTTTTTATAATAACAATAATAAATATCCAGAAACAATTGATCATCTTGTATGAAGTTGGACAACTTGAATTTAGCTCAACTTTCGTTTCATCAGAGAAGAGAACATTTAGTAAAAAAAATCAAGTGAGTCACTTTTATCAAACAGCACTGTATATATATATATATATATATATATATATATATATATATATATATATATATATATATATATTTTAGATACACACTTTTCACGCACACATACACACACACACACACACACACACACACACATATATATCAGTAAAATCAAGAAATTGATTTGAGAACTAGAAAGGATTATTATAAAAACAAATAAACATAATATGTCTATATTATTCAATGAAAGATGTTTAAATATATAAATTCTGACATATTTGGTTAGCACCCTTGTATTGTGGATGCTTGTTTGCAAAACACCATAGCTACAGTGAATAAAATTTAAATTTTAAAATAATTATAACTAAGTGCATTCATGCATGTTTTCAAAAATCACCATCACAATAATCATAGTTACAATAAGTTTGTCTTTGCAATTCATGCTGAGGATGAACTTGAAGGAGATTGAAAGTGCTTGGGTATAGAAAACTATGGCACCTGCCTTGATGAATTTCAACTTAACAGCAAGAGATAATTAGAAAACTAGAAAGGATTGTTATTAAAATAAACACAATGTCTGTAATATTTAATGAAATATATATTAAAAAAATATACATAGTGCAACTTGGATTTTCATGCAATTTGCAATCTTCAGTTGTGAGTTGTGCAATCAATGTAAGGTATTATGTATATTTTTTAATATATTAAATACCTCTATTATTTAACACTGACCACTGTTTTTTCTTACATTATGGTGTATATATGTATCTATTTGTATACAAACACTGGCTTATACATTTACCTATATTTATCCATTTCATTATATATATATATATATATATATATATATATATATATATATATATATATATATGTGTGTGTGTGTGTGTGTGTGTGTGTGTATTTGAAAGTTGGATCCATATGTCTGTAGCCTGATATGTATTTATTATCTGCAGTTTGATCTGAAAATTTCACTGCATAATGTTTGAGCTATGTGATTAATATTCCTTAATTGATGAAGAAGATTATGCTGAAAAATAATTAATTGTACTATTAAAATGCTTTTCTTTTGTCAGTTATCTGTAGACTTATGTATACCTCCAGAAGTTCATATCTGTATTAGTATGCTTTCCAGCTTGTCTATTATAAAGCTTCTTATGTATTTATCTTACTTTGACACTAACTTTTGTTAATAGAGTCACTGAATCTATTTTGAAAGTCAAGTATTATTTGATGTGAGCTACTTTGCTAATCCAATTTCAATTGTGTTTAAACTGCTTCAGTATGAATTGGTTCCTATATTTGATAAACCTTGTGTGGAATGTTAAAAATCCTTTGATTAGAGCTTAAATAATAACTTGTATAGACATGCCACATGATTATCTTGGTGTGTAGCATTACTTCTGAGAAGTTTCAATAACTACTTTGTCATTGTTAGTGATCTGTTGTCTGACCATAATTAAAAGTCTGAATGACTTGAAAATATATAACCAATTTATTGGTAGATATAATTAGAAAAGAGTAAAATCCTCTTTCATTAAAAATGTAAAAGAATAGTGTATCTAAATGTATAGTGCTAAAAAGTAATAAACATTATGTAAGTAAAATAATAAATAAACATGGGGAAATTCCATGTGTATTGACAACTAAGGTTATCTGTTATCTTATGCCACTGATCATCTCTCACACTTTACCTGTATCTTCTTATTATCTCCCTTATCCCTTCTGGTACAACTATCCAGTATCTCATGACTCACCTCTTCTCTTCTCTCACCCTTTACCTGTATCTTCTCATTCTCTCCCTTATCCCTTCCAATACAACTAAAATTATCCATTATCTCATGCCTCTTCTCTTCTTTCACTTTTTGCCAGTATCTTCTTATTCTCTTCCTTATCCTTTCCAATACAATTAAGATTATCTATTATCTCATTGTTTTTCAACCTTTTTTTATTTCACGACAGTCTTTGACCTATAGTTAAACTTCTCTAGCACAATCAAGGTGATCAAAAAAAGAGTAAAACAAGAGTATACTTTTTATGATTTATTTATTAACACAAGCAAAATAATTTATTATAATTTTTAATAAAAAGATGATAATTAAAATTCTTAAAAAAATATTTATTATTTTTTTCTGTTCATTATAAATTAACATTTAATGAAATATCTGAGCTATCTTAATTAAAAACTTGTCAATTTTATTTGAATTTTAATAAAAATATATTTAGTACACTACATGTCCTCCTTGCTCTTGCACAATTCGATACATATAAGAGACTAGCAGTAGAGCCCGGCGTTGCCCGGGGATGTAACAGTAAGAGATAGATCAAGTATCCACCATCATAAAGACTGAAAAATAAAATTAATTAGATTTTTTTTTTTTTTTACAAATTGGTCAAACCCAAACTCAAACAAAAACATTGTTTTCAATTGTTATGAGTCTACCGACTGAATAGAATTTTATTATAAACAATTGTCTTGTAAATGGAATTTTTAAAGCATTCTGAATGTAAAAATAAAGAAAAAAGTGTGCAAGACAATAAGAAATACTACCTGCCAAAAAAAAAAGTGAAGCTTTGTTGAAATCGATTGAAAAATGTAGGAAATCCGATCCCATATATAAAGAACACACACACACACACACACACACACACACACACACACACACACACACACACAACCTGGGTTTTATAATAAGTATAGCTCGATATGAGTTGTCCCCCTTTCATTCTCACAACAGCGATGCCTCTTAATCGTGTTTTCAAATTGATTTCATACAAAAACAATTGTGCTTTTCCAATTTTTGGTGCTGTCAGAACCACCACAAGGTAATTTTACGTAGTCCTGTGAAGTTTTGTTGAAATCAGTTGAAAAATGTAGGAAATCCGATCCAATATATAAATGAACAGACACACACACAACCTGGGTTTTAGAATAAGTACGATTTTTGAGTCATTACCAAAATTAACTTTGGATGATTTGACATATATCTGTGTCAAATCACGTCATCTATGGATGAGTCATATGACCTCATTTCTCACACCCCACCCACTTTGTAAATTATATATACATCTATTTATTATAACAATGATATACTTGTATCATCAGTTTAAAGGGATTTTAATTTTGATATGTACAATTATTGCATTTTATTGTGGTTTAGACTTATTTTGGAAATAATTTAATTAATTACCTTTGAAAACTTTCTCAGCACACCTAGGATCCTTTCACGACACACTCAAAAATCACTGTAATCACTCAGGCCTCTTCATGATTGTATAGCTGCAAAGATTTACAAACTGTTTACATTTTTATATGATTTTACATGGTAATTTCTAAAGAATTAATGGATTTTATTTACAATCTGACATTATTTCTACTGACCTGTGTATTTGAGAATCTTAATAAAGTAATAAATTGAGTATTCAAGAATCTTACTAAACTCAATCTTCCTGATCCTCTCCAATACAACCAAAGTTATCAACTATTTGATAGCTGCACAAAATATGGTCCATGAGCTTACACAGAGTGGCTCATGTGGGGTTTTAAAATAGTCAGTATTTGTGTTCATCAGAATAAGTTCAGCAGCTGATTGCATATGGTAAATTCAGTTTTATGGAAGCCTGACTTTATTCAACAAACATGTCAATTTTTGTATCTGATTAATCCTTTTAACTCTCCGGAAAAAAGAAAGAATTTTTTGTCATTCTTCCCTCCATATATCTGTTTCTATATCACTCATACTCAGTAAAGCCCTTCATATTTTTTTTTTATTGTGGAGGCCTGTTTATCTGTATCTACTTACTATCCTCTTGATCCCTTATATTCCCTTGATCCTTTCTATCCACTTGATCCTTTTTATCCCCTTGATCCTTTTTATCCCCTTGATCCTTACTATCCATTTGATCCTTTCTACCCCTATGATCCTTATTATCCTTTTGATCCTTTCTCTCCTTTTGATCCTTTATATCCTTTCTATCCCTATGATCCATTTTATCCCCTTGATCCTTACCATCCTTTTCATCCTTTGTCTCCTTTTGATCCTTTCTACCCCTATGATCCTTATTATCCTTTTGATCCTTTCTATCCACTTGATCCCTTATATCTATCTCCTCAATTATATTCCCTTGATCCTTTCTATCCTCTTGATACTTTATAGCTCCTGGATCATTACTATCCCCTTTATCCTTTATATCTCATTGATCCTTACTATCTCCTTGATTCTTACTATCCTCTTAATCCTTTATATCTTTAATATTCTCTTGATCTTTTATAACCACTTGATCCTTACTATCTCCTTGATTCTTACTATCCTCTTAATCCTTTATATCTTTAATATTCTCTTGATCTTTTATAACCACTTGATCCTTACTATCTCCTTGATTCTTACTATCCTCTTAATCCTTTATATCTTTAATATTCTCTTGATCTTTTATAACCACTTGATCCTTACTATCTCCTTGATTCTTACTATCCTCTTAATCCTTTATATCTTTAATATTCTCTTGATCTTTTATAACCACTTGATCCTTACTATCTCCTTGATTCTTACTATCCTCTTAATCCTTTATATCTTTAATATTCTCTTGATCTTTTTATAACCACTTGATCCTTACTATCTCCTTGATTCTTACTATCCTCTTAATCCTTTATATCTTTAATATTCTCTTGATCTTTTATAACCACTTGATCCTTACTATCTCCTTGATTCTTACTATCCTCTTAATCCTTTATATCTTTAATATTCTCTTGATCTTTTATAACCACTTGATCCTTACTATCTCCTTGATTCTTACTATCCTTTTAATCCTTTATATCTTTAATATTCTCTTGATCTTTTATAACCACTTGATCCTTACTATCTCCTTGATTCTTACTATCCTCTTAATCCTTTATATCTTTAATATTCTCTTGATCTTTTATAACCACTTGATCCTTACTATCCTCTTAATCTTTACTACACCCTTGATCCCTACTATCGACATGATCATTTCTAATACAACTAAGATTACCCATTATATCGTGCCTCTGCTGATAGATGTAAATTTAGAGTGTTTAAAACCCAAAGATGTCTGCTCAAATACATTTTATCTTCTAAATACAACAGTTAAAGTAATACAGTTTTACATGTAGATTTATTGGATCATTTGATTAAAAATTGCCAAGTTTACTTTACAGTTTAGCATTTTAGAATTCAACATTTCTGTGTGTGATTTTGGTTTGCTGCATTCAAACACTGATTCCTGTACAGTCAGCGAAATTAAACAATGTTGAGTCTGGTCAGTACCTAGATTGATGACTGCTTGGGAATACCCAGGTGCTGTAAGCTTGGATGTCGGGGTCATCTAATGGATAACAGCTTGGAATTGTTAAGTGAAGAGCCGAGTTCCAATTCCCGTTAGGTTTGTTATATTCACTAAAAAGAATGAATAAAATGATGTACAAAATATTTAGATTTTGGCATTAAGTAACCCATAGAGGTGTTGATATAAAAAAAAACAAAAAAAAAAAACAATGAACCAAATATACATATGACTTTTTCTGAAATGGGATCTGATCATGATCTATAAGATCACAAGCCATGCTCACTAAAGAGTGTTTCCTGACGGTTTGGAATGTAACCCATATATATACACACAAATGACCTCCAAATGTAACTCTTAATATTAACCATTTCCTAATAAGGAAACATTTGGTATTCATTGACTGAACTGCCAATACAACTTTTGGTTGAAATTTATGAAATCTTTCTATTAAAACAGTTTTTCAGGAAAATAGGTTTATCAAGTCCAGTAGCTGTTATTGCTCTTTCCAGTATTGATGGGAGTTTCTTTCCTAACCTTTTGCTTGAAGAAGTGTGGAATGTCAACTTGATTATGTCATTATTTTCTCTAAAAGTTACATTTTAGTTGCTGCTGCAGTTGAAAAGTCTTAGAGTGATGTGGTTTCTGTTATCTGGTAGAGTTCTTTGTTGGTGGATCTGTAGTGCCAATACACAAGGGTCGAAGAAGGGTGACTCTTGCAAAGACCTACAGGCTTCATTTGCTTGAAGCCATTTTTAACCATTGTTCTGAGAAAGTCGTTATATACAGTTGACAGTTTAGATATTTCTGAACGAGTGTGGTGCCATGCATGACATCCATTACAAAGTCTTGATATGGCGAGGTTTTTTAAGAACATGGCTCGAGAACATCCATTGCTTGCATTGAAAGGCAGAAACAATGCAGTTCACAAATGTAGAAAATACCAAATAAAAAAAGGAAAAGAATAAAGAATGGGGAAAATGAAGAAGCAGCTACCAGAAAATGGAAGAGCTTGAAACATGCTTGATCCACAGCCCCAGGGCCTGTGCAAGGGTCTCGTGGGATCCTACTGAATCTATGATATGCCCCCTCCCACTCAATTACATCTCAATTTTCATAAGGTAGTATCCCTATAAAATACTAATTTCATTGTAACCTAATTATGTACAATAATGGTTATATATGTAATATAGGTGAACAATTCAACTAGAAAATTTTGAAAGAAATACAATGTATAAATCACATTATATCATGTCATAATATATCTTTCTATATTTTTTTAGCGTTCTGAAAAAGACTGAGTCCAACACCCAGTGGTGACAGTTTGTTTCATGGTCTTGTAAAAATTATAGTTAGACAAGAGAGTCTATCATTCATGAAACAACAATGTTTTTGCAGCAATTTTTAACATCAGCTTAAGATTTTTCTTGTTAAAAAGTTGAATAATTTTAACACATTCAACATTGTGGATAAAAAACAGTTAATTTTATATAATGTTTTTTGAGACTTAGCACGAGAAACAAATTCATGGATTTGGACAAAAAAAAGATCCCAAAATGATGTTAAAATCCATGAAAATTTTTTTCCTTTAATAATCAGTTGTACTTAGTTTAATTTGTAACATATATAAATGTAGGTAGAAAAAAAGTAAATATTGATAAGATATCGTATGCCATAAAGCACTGCCTCTCCCTGGTTGGAATTTTTGAGTGGTAGTACGCACCGGCCCTGCCATAAAGGAGGAAATGAGCTATACTGTCATTCATTTGCCTAATATTGTTCTGATATATAGAAATTTATATATTATATTCTTCCAGGGTGTTTCAAAACATGTCACAAAGCACTGCTCGTGCCCCCCCCAATCAGCCTTGAGAGGGGGGAGGGTCGGAGGCAGTGTGCATCCGTTCTCCATTGCCCACATGGATAAGCTGCAATTGATTGAAACACAGAAATAAAAAAAATACCACTAAACCGGTCACTCCTGTAGATATTTGTGATGTTCTTGAAGTAACAACAGATAAAATAAGCTTTGCACTTCAAAATGTGAAATGCAGTAAAGATATTTACTTAGTGCACATGGAAAAGAAAGTACCTGAAAGTGTTGTGTATGATACACCTAATTTACATAAGTGGAGTACCGACCATATAAATATGGGTTGGTACCGGAAGACGGGAGATTAAGAGATCGAATCGAGAGACTCTGCCCGACTGCGATTTAGTCAACCCATTATGCAGGAACAGTCTTCCCAAGAATATACCAAAAACTAACTGTAAATATTGTGTACCTTTTCCTTGTTTCAATACATTTTGTTAACGTACATTTTGTGTTGTATTATTATTATTCCATGCTTATCCAAGTTTCAACAGAAAGCTTTAGTCTATTAATAATAAACCTACTTTATAAAAAAGGAAATAATACAGTTCTTGAGAACAATCATCTTATCACATTACCGTGAATAAAAACCAGTCACGCGAACAAGCAGGTTTTACGAGGTTTT